GACTGATCACAGATGCCCCAAGAGATGTCACCACACTGCTCTCCTATGCTCAGAAAGATGTCGCCACAATTTCCCTTGCACTCCCACCCTTGTGAAGCTATGGCGTGCACAACAGTAACGGATGCTCCAACACCAGACGCCACACTTTCCCTTGCACCGTACCAGGAGGCCGCCCTATGCAGCTGAAGCGTCAGTCCAGTTTAGCTCGGCACTGATCCGGTCGCTCGCTATACAAGGCCGGTCCCTGATTTTAACCTGGGGCGCTCCAGCGGGCGGCATCGGGCCGCACTCCACACAACACCAGCAGAGAGGTTCGTATGGCCACCCGTTGGTGCGAACGGCCAGCAATAACGACCCAAAAAGAAAAAGAAGGAAAAAATGAATAATTGCATTTCTTTTTTTCTTTTTTTTCGAGAATAATTGCATTTCCGATTTGAGGTATCCACCATGTGACTGGCGCCCTCCCCAAGCACCTCGCAGAGTACGATGTTGCGACCTTGTCGTTAGCGTTTTGGGAACACAGTGTGACCGGCCAGGGCCGCATTTCCTCAAAACGGTCGTTCACATTTTCCCATTTTTTTGCGAATTTGGTACCTAGTGTGAGCGTGCCCTGAGGGCATACTCACACGAGGACCAAAAGACCCAAAATCCCAAAATTTGAGTCATTTTTCGGGTCACACTGGAAAGGCTTGCCTCAAACCGTAAGCCTTCTGTCAGCGGCCTGCAGGGCCGCTGGCGGACCCCTTTTGAGACCACCTCCGGAGGTGGTCTCAAATTACCTTTCGTTTTTTTTTTTCTATGTTCGCGAATTGAAGAGAATAGTAGACGAAGAAGACAGCCCGCCCAATTTACGTTGTAGCGAAGCCCAATGCATTATGCCCCATACGTTATTCTGGCGTGAAAAAAAAACTAAAAAATTTCATCTCGTTGTTTGGTCCTCCCCCGTGTGATCGGGCGCAATTGCCCTGAGTGCAAAGTGTCAGGGTCGCAACTTCGTCCTTTCTGGACGAAAGCCGCCCGTGTGACCACGCCGGGACCAAATGCCTCCAAAAACCCGAACCAAATGCCTCAAATTTGGGACTTTTGGTCCCCATGTGAGTATGCCCTGAGATAAAAGTTACTTCAATGAAGACAAGTTAAAGGGGGAACCAATGAAAAAACCCTTCAATGAAGACAAGTCAAAAGGGGAACCAATGAAAAAACTAGGAAAAACTAAGTCAAAGGAGGAACCAATGAAAAAACTTGAAAAACTAAGGGCCTCGCCACAATAATGTTGAAAATGCAAATTTTTCGGTAAGTGTTAGGGCATACTACGACTTTTGCCGTTTCACCTATTTTTGGACCAAATTGTGGCCAGATACATCCAGGTATGGCCATGACTGCGGTCAGATACACTTGAGATACCGCTAGTGTGAGTACGCACTTAGGCGGTTTTCTACATTGTGTGTTTCGATAAAAATCCCTTCTTCGCCACACAGCCAATGTTGAAGATGTGGGATGTCGAGGCACTATACCACCTGGTAGTTTCCCCGATTCGGCAATGTTGTGGGGTGGATGCGGGATAATTGTTGAAACCTTGGTCTCATGGACATAGATGTAAGTGGGCCATTACGGGGTCGAGAGACATTTAGAGCTTTATGACTTGAAATTGATGTTACTGCGCCATTATCGGGCCGAGATACATTCCCAACTTTATGATTGGAGATTGATGTTACTGAACGATTATGGGGTCAAGATATATTCCGAAAGAAATGCTGCGTTTTTTTGACAACGATTATTGAAACTTACGAAACCGAAACCACCTTGGCATTAGCACAGAGACACTGATACATGTCTTAAAAGATTCCGCTTTTGCCAACTCCAAATGTCGGTGTCTACTTTCGACACACCCCGTGGGTGGACAGTTTCTACTTAAAAACAACGGATGTCAAAATGTCATTTCTAATAGTTGTCGAAGTGATGTCAACATTTCAGCATTTGATAGTCTATGCGGCCATCACCAAATGTCGAAACTCGTTTTTCGATATTGTTGTAACGAGGCTCTAAATTTAAGTACAAATGGGAAATAGGGATCAGAATGGAGAAAAACTACTCTCATCAACAATCCCTCTCAGCGACCTCTGTCTATATAACGAGGGATTAATTGGGACAGGTGGACGGATGATCCCAAAGTAACTCTGAGTAAAGTAACTTGGAACCATTGGAAAACTCTGCCCATTTAAGGGCCTCGCCCCACCACTGTCGGAACCACGATTTTCGATAATCGCTCTTGGCCACACATGCTGTCGAAATTGGAGACGGGAATAAAATTTGCAAGTTGTCAGAGAGAATGTTTCTCGACACCACCTGTCGAAAGTTGTTGAATCCCCAGCCTGCTACTCCGGAACTTTCGACAGTCCTTGCATCGTATCTCGTCGAGTTACCGACGATACCCCTCTACGCATCGAGGACCTTGTGCGTTGGAAGAACTATCTTGATAAGGAGGCTACTTGGGAGCCCCTCGAGCACTTGGAGTATGTCTGAATGTTGGTCCGTGCATATGACCATGCTCGTCGTGCTGAGACATTTGCTCTTACTCAACCGACTGACGCTCTTCCTCCTCCTCCAGCTGAGGAGATTGTAAAGGACGAGCCTACTCCCTCTGAGACCGTTCTTCAGCAGCAGACGAACGTCTCCGCACGTCCACAACGCATTCGTCTCCGCCCGGAGCGTCTCGACGACTGATACTCTGATCACCTACCATCCTCCTACTGACTCACACCTTCAGATCCTCCATCATCAACTTCTTTACGATATCAGCGTTTTGTGGTTCTGCTTCGACAGCGACTAAACTCCTACTTCATCGACTTCATCGACGACTTCAACTACTTTCTCGACGTCGGTCATCTTATCGGCTTCAGCTACTTTGGACGTGACTCCCTCATGCCACCACCCTACCCTGTATATTCCCTTGCATGTGTTGCCTGATGATTCTCACTTAGCTAGATCTCTCTGAATAAGGTTCTCCCTTGGTATTGCATAGGCATTGGGACAGTAGTGTTATCTTGCTTCCCTGTTCCCAGTTCTAGCTCCCTCCACCAGTGGGTGAGTT